AGTGTCTGGTGAATTGGAGTGGATATCCTGAGTCTAAGGACTTATAAGAGTACGAGGTACTACACCGGCAATATTGACCATACGCCGTGTATGCTTTAAGCATTGAGGTCAGAATCAACATAGGACCCATATTGCTTCCCACCGGTAATAGTGAGGGTGGACAAGATCATAGCCGTAGTGTGATGTGGACTAAAAATGGCTATATCAGTAGCTGGAGCGCCTGGGTTATGAATCTCAGGAGGAGGCACATAGCGAGATCTGAACGACGATCGCAACTGATCACTGGACCTTATAGTTGCAAACTCATAGTGAAAATTGCGTTTTAGATGCACATCAGCAGAACTGACCCTTGCTTTTATTGTACGTTACTGTAACGGGGCACCCTTTGTTTGGGGTACCGCGAAACCTCACGTACACTAGTACGTGCAGAGGAAGCTAATCTACTTGAACGACTCGGTCAAGTAAAGGTAAAAAGGTAACTGTATTTAATATAGTTAAGCTATCAATATAACTGTGTTCTTTATCTAACTATATTAAACTACGCCGTCATATGACGACAACCTGCTCACCACTCATTGGGCGCGTCTAGCAGCGATTGGTGGCAATCTATGGTTGGTGTGTCTTAGATCAACCAATCTTGGAGCAGCGAATAAATATCATCCAAAAGGGGATAACATTCCTTCGATATTATCCATCTCGGATAGCATCGGTAGGATATTGTCATGCTAGACAATATCCCTATTGACACGTTTGGTGTCAATTTCATGTAACGGGCTACCCCGTTACAGTTACGCTGCTTAAATACCGTGCTTAATGCGCTCAACAGGCAAACATTTTTCCCTCCTCAAAGTCAAATATCCATTTGGACAAAGATGATGGAATGCCCTTATTGAGAGGTACACGAATTCCTCATGACTGTTGTACCAGCCTAGACTTGTAATAACTTTGAGTCGTAACAAACGGCCCTGGGTTATTTGATCGAGGGGCTTCAAGCTCCACAATCCTTTTGACTATTTTAGCATCATGACCGATGGTCTACAATACCAATTAACGGCATAAAGTCTCCCCGAGACACTCCTTCACGCTCATGGAAGTGGACGTATAATATTTACCATGGTGGATTGCATACCTGACCATTGACCATTTTTACGGGCCGTCCTCTTTGTCGAAAAGCCGTTGTTCATACTCATCCAGGGAGTTTGTGACAATAAGATCCCCGTATCATCTCGTAGTACGCGTGACGCCGTTTGCACGTTCACAGCACCACAATCCGCGAAGGTACTGGATGCACGACGAGATTCTTCATCGTACATAGAAGTGGTTAGTTTAAATTAATTTTTCTCCTGTTGGTGCGTGTCGCTTTCGTTATTGACTCCGTCCACTGACTCTGCGCGGAAGAAGTCATTCAATGCCTTTGACTCATTGCCCTAATTCGTCATGGTTATATGAAACAGGCCGTTAACCGTAATACACTCTTCGCAAGTACCTCAGAAAGAGAGAAAATATTGAGTGGTGCTGTGTGAGGAACATCAGTCTGGTGGGGGAGGCTGTAATGGGGTCAAAATACGTCCACGTGAAGCGATGTTATATCGATGGGTTTTGGATAAGGTCTGTAAAATGACATCGGACTTTAGTAGCTATGATTTTTGGACCAATATTTTAAGTACTGAGTACGTCATACATTAATGATTGACATGTCATTCAGTCATCAGAGTTTTTAAAATATTAAGATACAATGGCAAAGCAATTGACGTCAATGTAAAGAACTTGGGAAAGGGTTCGTCAGTGTAGATAAATCACAAATAAGCTCAATTTGTCTTTCAAGTGGAAGCGGGCAAGTCTTGCTGACTTGTTATCTTTGAGCCTTTGTGCTGTTTTTTTCTGGAACTGTGAAGTCTTTAGCTTAACTGAGCGTACAGTCTAGCCTCGTTATTTAGAACGGTCATACTCGTATGCTTGTTGCTATTAGTTCTTTAGATCTAAGTGAATAAAGTCCGAAGTCTTCCTCTGGCTAAAGAGTGGTGTAGCTCTGTTACACTAGGCGGCATAAAATTGTATTCAGAAATACGTGTGGGTGGTTTCGGAGATGCCTCATGTGTATCTTAAGCTTTCTCGTTTCTAACAGACTTCGGGTAATCATCGATACATGGCAAGAACGTCGTTAGCTGCTAGCCATTAGACACGATCAACTCTAGGCAATCTCTCAGATATCTATAGCCAAGTACTGGTTACAAATCTGGCCCGGCCTTTTTCGCGTCGCTGGAGAGTAATTGCGTACCGGCCTACTGATAGTGTTGTACTAGGGTCACAAAATAGCCAGGTGTCAGTAACTGTAAAACCCGGGTCGGACAGCTCGTACGCCGGCTCAGCCACAGAAGCTTGACAGCAGATACTGAAAAACTAGCAAGCAGATCATGTAGCAGCTATTGAACAAACATCAGCATCGTTGCGATGTTGTTGTTCATGCGCGTCTGTCGCACACAGATTGTCGACACTTGTGGCGGTAGCTTCACGATAATAATAGGCAGTTTACAATTACGCACTGGAAATGATAAAATTAAACCAGAAGAATCGTAGGAATAAAGAGTGTAAGAAGTAAAGCTGCCTCGAACGATAACTATGACGATTTGTTAGGATAACAGGGTAGAAGAGATGAACTTTAAGAGTGAAAGGTCACGTTGTTCGCAGATACCGCAGTCTTGCGCGTCAAAGTGCCAACTTCTAGCGTCCAGCTATGTTGGGCTATAATACTAAAGGGATCAATTCATATATCGAGCGATTCGTAAGATTGAGACGTGGACATGTCCCTCAGGTTGTATTGACTAGCATCAGTGCTGGTATGGGCTAATTCCAGGTTATAAAATAAAAGTCTACTGCATAAAGTGCCTCGCAAGCAGTGGGACAAATGCTACCGTTTTTTCTAGCAGCGTAGTTAAGCTTGCCCAAGATCTTGACCCTCTAGCGCACACGGACTTTTCAATTATATGTCAATTGGCATCCTTCTACACGAATGCGCTTTTCCGTTTCGACATTAACGTTTCATCGCGAGTTGTCGTATTAGCACATCCACAGAAGAGGTTATCCTTTTCGTAGCCCATGTTTAGGTCCCCTGGATGATTTCCGCTTCCTTCTTGTCCGCGTCTACCCAGACTGTTCCTTGATCGAGAATCCTTGCAGTATTTTTTGCGCAACGAATCTTCTCCTGCACCTTACGTTGGACACGTTCCTAATAAATGATCAATAAACTCGATAGGGTGCGATACAAACTCGTTAGGTGCAACTGTGGATTGCTCAGCAGTGCCTGCGGCCTCCTGATCATCGTTGTTGTTATTCTTGATGTTTCGATACTGTGTTCATCGTTGTGAGCGACGTTTCTGTGGGCATCGCCGTCCATCGACGCAGATTCCATCAGGATAACATCCCACGTTCATGTGCTCATACATTCAAATCTTTGCCTTCGTCACTGCACATACCTGAGAGGATGTATGAGTCTTACGCGACCCTCTCAGGTATATTTCCGCTCAACAGAATGACCTCACGACAAGAGAATAGGCTCATCCTCGTAGAGTGTAGCAATCAGGATGTTCTTCGATTTAACCATGTAAACAGAGCATCAATTTCGAAGTGATTGCAATGAGACCAAGATTTAAACAGGTCCATTCGAGCAGCAGGATACAAGTGTGTGGAATTACACTCGAGCACGGTCACTCCATGTGGTCTATGATGATGCTTCAATCCTAGCTGAAGACAACTATCCGAAATGATGAGCGAAGAGTGCAGCGGGGATGGATTACATTTGTTGTGTCAACATCGTCGGTTTACATGAGAACGTATCTCTGAATATTCATGTGCCAGGAACTAAGCGCCTTCTTCGGAGCTTGCCGTTATGGTCCTCGAAAGAGAGAGGTGAGATGTTGAGTGGGATAGAAACTACATTAACCAAGCCGGTGTGAGTTTATGCTTCGAGCGCTCTCAGTGCTCCGCTGCTCTTTGCCGCATATCATTGATAATGGACTGCGATTGTCCGCAACGTTCAACTTGTAGTGCAATCACTGAAGCAAGCGCAAGGGGCGCAGAACGAGTGTAGCAGAGATAGATGCATCAATTTACATTCAAATCCCAGCCGCCACATTATTTACCAACTGGGTTCGACAGACACGCGCAGAAGGCAAAAAATCCTCTTGGATATTCGCAGCTACGCTATCTGCTCGCTAGTCATTCTGTATCTTCTGTCAAGCCCCTCCCTTGGTGTAGATGTGTGCGAACTAAACGTTTCCCCAATACAACTGGTTTGTTGATGCGGCAAGAGCTGCGTTGCAGCAAAAGTATGCACTCCTATGTATGTTCCTGCTTGCTACTAATCCTTCCTCAAACTTCAACGTAAGCAGCACGGAATTCCGGTCGGAATGTCCGAAAAAAGCTGTCAACTCACTTGCATGCAAGCGAGACTGCTATAGGTCACTAAAACTTGTCTTTACCTATCAGATGGTAGTTACATGGTAAACAAGGGATAGTGAAGTCGCGATAGACCCGTTTGGTACAAGGTTCTATCGTGCTGTATGCAAGTTCAGCAGGTTACATTTGGTCCAAACTTGAGCTTAGCTTACGACGCCAGTCTTTTACATACTATCGATAGAGCTGTAGACGGTCTTGATTATTGTAGTCGGAGCAGTCTTAGTGCAGAAATGGGAATGCAGGCAAAAGTGGTCGGATACTTGCAATGTATGTAACCGAATTATGGAGCGATGATTAGCTGGCAGTTGTCGTGGTAGCGATAACTGAGGGACATGACGCATGCGTAGTCGAGACATTCGTGGACCATGTACACAAGCAGTGGCTGTTGTCCAGGATATTACTGGGGTTAACCTATAGTTAGTGCTGACTTGAGCTCCATCATGAGCTCAGATCATACCAGGACTCTGCTATCAAACATCAACCAAATCAATGCGAATGAACGTATTCGGAGCTCCACGTAGATTGCTCCGCCTTACCTTGTTTCGTTAGTCCAATTTGGACGATACTCGACCTCCGATGCTAGTCATGGTAGAGTCCAACGAGAGTGCAGCCAGCAGCGACTTGACACTCTGTCGCAGTTTATTCCGCAGTGCCGTAAACTGCAGAGCCTCCACCTGACTGCGGTCTTCCCTTTTCTTTACAGCATCAATGTCTTGCGCGTTTTCACTTGTCTCCTGCAGATCAAGTTGCTGCTGATGATGAACGGCGTCGACAGCAACGAACGTGGGGTACTCGAATGATCGCCTGAAAGCAGCGTAGATCTGCTGCAGACTGCACTGAAGCTCCTTCTGCATGGTAGGGGTCAAGTTTGCAAGCACCTTTTCGAGACAGTCAAGCAAGAACACAGCGTCTTGCAACTACATGAATAGAACATGTTAGTCGATGGTGTCTCTGCGCCCCACAAGATAGTTTCAGTGCTTACCTTCTTATTTGCAACGGCATAGGAATCACACTGCATCGGAAATACTGACTCCGATGTGAATGTCGTCCAAACATCAATGTTCCAATTGCTTGAAGCGGCTGGTACCGTCACTTCATGGTGGTAGAATGCAAGCGCAAGCAGAAGCTCTTCGACCACGAATCGCTCTCGCAACATCGGTAGCATCGCAATAAACTTCGGAACACGCACAAGGTACGTGGCAAAACCAGCATGCCACAATGCACACTCGCCCACGAAGCGAAGAAGTGCTGAAAACCACCGTTTGTCCTGACATTGCGCATGTCGTCCGTTATCCAAGTCACTTTTTGGTGGAAGAATCATGAGCAGTGTTCGTAGTACGCCACTCTCATAAAATTTCTCGGCGGTTGTCCTCGCACTAGACGACGCGAATAACGTGAAGTGCAGAAGCTGTAGGATCACGGCAACGAGCACGCCATCTACACCATCGTCACCAGCAACATCCTCCGAATTCTGCTTTTCCTCGTTTCTCTTTGTTGGACGAGGCAAGTCATTCGGTAATGACACATGTTGATGAATTTCTTCCACAATGAGCGGTAATAATTCCTGGACGACCATTGCTAAGCCTTGCTGAGCACTCCGAGCCGCGCCCTGATGGAACTCGGACGACATTGCCAGCTCAGCCAGCACGCAATAGACTAGATGCTGCGGCGGCTGGACGAGTTGCTGCGATGTATTCACAGCAGTCGGATATGATTGGTCACGATGGAAGAACTCGATGAGCTCCTTCAGTCGCAACAAAGCATTACGACTTGCGCTAGGTAAGAGCATAATACGGTCTCGCAACACGTACAGATACCTGGTCCAATCACCGTGCACACCGTAAAACACAACTGATACAGCATTTTGGCGGTCTTGTTCAGTCTCTGAATGGTATACAAGCAGCTTCATTATCGCAACAAGGTCGTCATCTAGACGCCACTGCTCCCACTTCTCTATCGACACACTCTCGAAAGACGACGAGAACGTTTGTGAAGCCAAGTACTGAAGTTGTTCAGTTCGTGAAACTGCTGACTTGGCTGCTGTATGTCGGCCTCCCACGGAATTCCTGCCCTGCATGCGTCCGTCTGGCAAGTGCCCTTCATAGACTTCACTCAAGTCGTCTGGGTCTTCTTGAGCTGCGAACTTTTCGACATAGTTCACTTCCCTCTTCATTTCCAGCGTCATCCCTCCAACATCAGGCACTTCCTTTTCTTCTGATCGTTTAGACTTTTCCGGCACTAATAACGACAATAGCGCATTCACGCGAGCATCGTCTGGTATTTCTAAACACATACGAAAGACGCGTAGCAATAGTGACGCTGCAAGTAAACCACTGGCCTCATTACTTGATGACATCGGTCCTTTGCTACTCCAACCCATCGAAGGAGGGCCCTGGTAGCTGTTTAGGAACGCTATACCGTCCAATAACGTCGTCGTAACCGGAACTTCAGTAGCTAAGTCCATCGTTGATTTCTCAGCTGTTATGCGTCGATAGAGCTCGGCCAGGGCCTCGATCGAAGCATCTGAGACGTTTGGAAAGTCATATTGTAGTTGTGCGTACGCTACTTGAGCCAGTTGGTCGCAATCATGACAATTCATAGTGACCGCTCCAGATAGAAACAGTCCAGTGGACTCCTGTGTCGATTTCTCGTCTTCTACTGCGTTGTCAGAGCTGGAACCAGCGCGAGAAGCGTCCGGAGATGCTTGCGGAGAAGATGAGAGTATTCGGGTGAAGCTAGATGGCGCAGAATTCGCTCGGAGCGCAGCCACAAGCTGCTCAATGAAGAGCTCTTTGTCCGTGTCCATGATTGTCAACAAGTTGACAATAAGAAGCGCAAAAATGACGATAGGAAGTTGCGACTCCAATTATTCGGTTGGGAGTCCATGACATTAAATCTCACGATGTTTTCAGATGAATATTGGAGTAAGGGTGACGAAAAGAGCCCAGGCCCCGCGTAACTCCAGGGTACGTACGGTACAGAGGCTCAAACTTGGCATAAAAACACGTCGCAATCATTGAAGTACGCACCCCATCGTCGTAAGATGCCGATGAGACACTTTCTACCGACCGTTCGGATCAGTTGGACTGGACCCGCGAGAGTGTATTAATTAGTTACAAAAACTAATTGGGGACCATTTGTGCGACCATTGCACAAACACCGCAAAATGTACGACTGAGCTTGATATTTGGTGCAATACTGACTGGGTCAGCAAACTACGATTTGGCGTGTTTCAACGGCGACTTCTTTGTAAGTTGGCCTGTTTGCAGCAATTAGAAATGGTCAAACGACTACGAATGATTCAAGTGTTTTGCTGTCAAGTCATTATGGATACTATTTAGCGACTCCAAAAGCTCAGCCTTGTTTGACGTAACTCGATCACTCGTAACTTCAGGGTGTGAAATAGCGAAAAGCATGACACGTCTTGTTCTTCGATCTGTAACATTTAGCTTTGACACGTGAAGAATAAAGAGCTACTTGCTTTTTAGTCGTGATCAAATATTGATAAGGAGCGCTGTACCAAATTGCATTTCGCGGTAACGATAGTCGTCGCATTTGCACCACAGTTAAAGAGCAAGTTGCATTTCTAAAAGAACAAGAGACCATACAAGGACGATAGAAGCCACTCAGGAACGAGCGACGAGACAGCGTTATTTAGAAATGGGATAGAGATGCCGTAAACTGTTCACTCATTGGTATTGTTCATGTATTTGCAATTCCACATATTGGAAGCAACAAAAGCTTCGACCGAATTTTTTTCACTAAACACGAGCGCATTTCGGAATGACACAGTCGCTCTGTACTTGCATCCATCACTCGTCACCCTCTTCACAGCAACTGCTTCAGCATCTTCATCCGAACCACCAAATCCTAGCACGCAACCTCGAGCGCTTGTCCCTCGATAAATGCGACGGAATTCTCCAAATTGAACTGAAAAAAAACAAAACTCTTGCTGTCCAAGCATCCGAAATGCTGTGCACTACAACGGCCGAAAAATGTCCTCGTCGTCGTACCTGTCTGGCAACCCTTCGTGGTGGAAAGTGATCCTCTTCTATCTCCACAGATTTTGTTTTTCGGCAACTCGTGCGCTCACTTGGACATCTTTCTGGCACACAATCAGCCTTGCTACTTCTTGTAAAACCTCTGCCGTAACCATTTGTTCTTCGTTATGTGGCGCTTGAGTGCAATTGAGGACCCCCAACTTCGACTGCCGAATCATCAACACCAGCTTAACGCCTTCTCCATGCTGTCATTTCCTGACACGTTAGCACTCCTTTCGTCCAAAACAAGTGACACCGCTTCTTGCAAGACGATGCGACCGAAAGTATCAGCTCGTCGTTGGCGCAATCAGCTCAAAAGCCAAAGCTGGCTGCAGCATTTCTGCGACCATTTCGATCAACCGGTTCACCAGTCTTCGCAGTACCGTCAAATGCTGCAATGTATCCTATCGCTGCCTCCAGCATCGTGGCGTAATACCCAGTCTCACCAATCATCAACGCCGTGACCATCGTCTCGCTGATCAAGTGACGAGTCACGATCACGCTGCGGAGATGACAACGGGCTAAGACGAAGATAAAGATGGGCAGGAAATCATCGGCAGACATGAGCGTCGACCGTTTTTGATGCTTCGGACTGGCAGTTCTGTCAGTCGCGTGGTCATGCTCCCGGGCATCGGTCTCGTATATACACCGCGCCACGTCCACGAGGACAGCAGCCTTCTCGGACGGCAGCGAATAGTTATCCATCGAGTCAATCAAAGCGATCGCCAACTTCCACTCAGTTGGCGACTGGTGCGACGGATGAATGTCCAGGAAACTCTGTGTTTGGACGGCTACTAACGCCCGTAATCGCTCAAATCGCTCTTCTTCCTGCCGTTGTCCACGTCGAGGCCCCATTTCATCGCCCAGTAGATGGTATATAACCTCTTGCAGCGGAATGAACGTGCGCCGCTCTAGCTTGTACAAAGCAGCACGACGAGCTAGAGCCAATTCATCATCCGTCGGGGCACACTTCTCATCATCTACAGAATGGCCAAGCGTTCGTGCTGTCCTTGGGTCCACAGCATTAGACACATGGTCCATGATAAGTCCCAGCGAGCGTTCCAAGAAAAAACGATAGTTCTTGAGTGCTAGCAGACTGCGAGCGTCTCGCAAAGTCGTAACGCTGTGAAGCTCGTGCGGCGTTGAACCCAGAGGACTCTCCCGTAGATCTTGCTCACAATTTGTCCCGTAACAGCCTTCGACTGGAGCCCAGGGTTCCGAAAGCCGTGTCCAGGCTGACGCACTCATTGCCGCCACTGAAGAAACAGTCGGATGATCGTATTTCTGGCGGAACATCGTAAGAAAGCTGGTGATATGATCGTGCATAGTCGGGCTTGCAAAAAGTTCATTGCAGGCACGCAACAGCGAGCGCGTCATGGGAGACGCAGAGCTTACAGCATTCAACAAACAGCCTGGTTTGGCATGAAGCGAGGCCCAGAGCTTGAGCACGTCGCTGTTATTCGTACTCCTGAGACTTCGCTGAGCTGTATCCTGTCCGTGAGACGATTGGTCGTCAAGGTCGTCTGAGTCACTCAGCTTGCAACTGAGTGCACCTTCGTGAGCATGGCGGATGCCACACATAGCATCGTGGAACGAACTGCCGTCAAGCGCCATCGCTTCTGCACTCAGTAGTCGTCGCTGAGCCACACTCTCCCGCAGATCAAAGTACGGCCCGGGTCCGCTAGTCAGTCCTTGCGTGTAATACGAGTCCCGACACAGGAGTGCATCTTCGATACAGTACATCCAGTTTTCACGGTCGCAGAGTTGAGCCGCATGAAGTAGCAACGTGTAGTCCGGACCGACTTGGATGGCAAAACTCGCATCGCGACCACCAGCTACATGAACGTCTACATAATGCACGCGAGTCTGTGGATGGAAAAGCAGCACCTCACCTTTGAGTTTCGTGCAAGAAGAGTCCGTATAATACCGCAAGATCGACTTGTCCAGCACGAAATAGCGGGCTTTCCAGTTCTTGCGCACATGGCCTCGCTTCCGCAGCCAGCCGCTCATCGAGTCGAGAAACGCGTCGTCAAAAGCACTGGAAGGAACATCACCGGTCCGTCCACTCCGAGTCGAGCATAAGCGCCGGTAGCGTACCCATTTCCGTCGTCGGACCCGTAACCGTTTGCCAGCAGCTCGGGGAGAAAACGATCGCGTCGTGTTGCCGCCACTAGAGTGCAGAAAGGACGAGGGACTCATCAAGTCTATTGGTATCCCACGTGAAGGTCCCGGTCCAAACTGGGAGAAACTAGCAGCATACTGCCACCCATCAACGGCATCAATTGGACTGTCAGCAGGTACTTCAAGATGCCAGGGACTCGTCCACTCCCACCTCAAAGGAGAGCCAGCTGGGGTCGACCCAATGGCTGCAGAACCTGGCACTGAACTGGACAGGACCTTGTGTTCATTTCGTGATGCATCCATAGCTGACCTGCTCCGTAACTTCAGTGTCCGACCAGGAGCTACGTCTCCGACTTGCTCGACTGCGTCTGGTAATAAAATCTCTGGAAACGTCGAGGATGGCGACCATTCGAGACTCTCCATTGGTGTCTCGTCTGCTGCACCTTTATACACACGTCCATCTTCTTCCCGTATATCGCCATGGTCTCCATCGGAAAAAACTTGCTCTTCTCCCTCGTCTCTTGGACGGTGACTTGGGTTCTGTATACAATGGCGACTCGATGGGACCCGCCGGATAACGCGCACGTACTTGTCCGGATCGAGTGGCAATAAATGACCAATCGAACCCCAGCCGATAATTATTTGGTCCCGTTGATGTTCGTACACTTCTTCGGCAACAAAGACGGGCCACTGGGCGTGGGTTTTATTCGAGGTGGTACTTTTCTTGCTGCTACTTTTGTGACTGAAGTGGTGCGAACGACTGGCCCCGCAGACGCCACGGGCCATGGATGACGACGTCGAGACGGTCGCAGTCGATGTCGAACGGAAGAAAGAGGGCGTCGAGGCCACTGCGAGCCAGTACGCGGCGTCGCGCGCACTCATGGGCGGCGCAGAGCTCGCGTGCAGCAGCGCCGGCGTCATGCGTTTCTAAGCGAGCAAATAGGGTCGTGAACGAGTCATTAGAGCGCTCTATGGGGGTTTAGTGGGGCGTGCTGGCGCTATTTATAAGAACGAGGGGACGGGGTTCTAAACACGGGTTTTAGCGCTGAAACCAGCTGGGTTCTTGATTTTATTGCGTGGATGATGGTGATGATGATGACCACGATGTTGGGAGGATGTGTGTGTGTGTGTTTTTTGTGTGTTGTTTTGCTGTTTGGTTTATATTAAGATGAAAAGCTGGATGTTTTAGCAGCTGAAATGGAAATGTCACTGAAAGGGGATCATGGATCAGAAACAAGAGGTCATATCGGAGGTTAGAAACGGTAGAGGCTCACGTGTGTTTGTTATGTAGACAGCCCTCGTTAACTAGCAGGTCAGTAATGAGCTACTCATGTTATGCTACCGCCGGGCTGTTGTCCCGTCTGACGCCTGGTGTAAACCTCGAACGATCATATCGCCGCGTCAGCATCCAGTGTGTGCATGCATATCTCGCTAAACAGCCGCAATCCATTAACTTTGATCCACTCGTTCCGAACGTGAGACAGCAAAGGAGCGGCGTCAGCGATAAAGTACTCGTAAACATAGCGAAGAACAATTGAGAAGCAGTATCCGCACCGCGGCCAGCAAGCTTTCGAGGCCATCCAACTGTGAACGTGACGGACGATAACAACATCGCATCATAGTTGACATCAGGAACTCGAGTCGATGGACAAATGACTTTGTACCAAGCAACGTTGGTGGTCGACATTTGAGCAACGAAGCAGGTTCGATAGGGTCTCTAGTAAACATGCAAAAGCTAGGAATAATTGGTACACAGCCGGACACAAGCGAACTATAACGGCAAACTTGCTTGGCAAGATTCTTGCTGGACTCGTAGCAGCGAAAGTGCACTCTTCGTCATCTGCAGCAGCTCCTTCGAATCACGGATGTGAGCACCTCCCGTCGTAGACGCAGCCCTCAGCAACGTATGGCTATCATGAAAAATGTAATGCGGAGAGAACATCGCGAGCAAGAAAGTTCCGATATAGTGAGGGCGTAAGCTTTACCACGAGCTCAGTCAACAAGTTCCAGCCGGCACGCAGACATAAAATAGACCCTCGTCACTTCGACAACAACTGATTGCCTTTGTCCCAACAGGCATCGAGAAAGGAGCAAAATGCTACCCACCGCCATAGTACGGGGCTGTCTAACTTTGACGTACGAATGCCACCATCAAACATCGTCGGCATGACTGTGTTAACCCATTCACTAGTAAGACAAGCCGCAATAAGGTGTGATTGTACCCAATATCCAAATTCCGTGAGAAAAACATGTCCGCTGTATCTACATCCATATCAAATGCAGCTCCGGAGACGAGTTGTTCATTCCCGGCGGATATGCAATCAAAGCATCGAAAAGTCTAGAGCAGCTCCGGAGATGAGTAGTTCATTCCCAGAATATGCAATCGAAGTCCAGAGAGTGATTTTATTCACTGCTTTGAAGTACTCATCAGATGTTTTTTTCCGCAAACAGGCGATCTTCCAGTTCCGACCCCAAGAAAGACCCGAGCTCAGCTGTGCTTATGATCACATCCAACTTATTGCTACTCGATTCTTGCTAATGCACCTCACAACCGACAACACTCGAAAGCTACAAGCACCTTCATCGTGATAATCATACTGTCGTAACGACTCCAAAAAGCTTGATACGCTGTCGTTCAATAGCTTTGCAATTACCAGACAAATTCGGATCTGCATCGTTGTAAATACGGTGCATCTTCCGTCGTAGCAGACGCAACTAAACCAAAACGAGCAAATAACGGATCAAACAATCAAAAGCCAATAATTCATCCACTTTACTGTCCTGCCCTCTTCACTGCAGTTCCCTGCAACCAAATCACCTTCACCACCTCCATAGCGTCTGTTGCGCTTCCACTCCACCTCCTCACAGTTCGACGCCTCCTTCCCAATCACTCGAAGACATTCGCTGAAACGTGAGTCGAATCGGGGTTTGAGTCATCAGCTTTGCAAAGAATTTCGTCAACACTGTCCCTGATCCCTCCAGTCCAAGATCCGACACATTCGTGTCACCAACACGAATCAACACGTCACCCACGCGCACGTCACGAAAACTTTTGCACACACTGCGCTCCGTATTCAGCAACATGCGCAAGAACAGCTGCGGTTCGTCACCGCGGTCGTCAAACTCGTACTCGTTCTCATCAGTATACACCTGCTGCACGGAGAACGCAAACTCGCCTGATTTCCACGTCACTTCGTAAAAACACGATGGATCGATCGAAAACGTCGATGAGCCACTCGATAAGCCCGACAGCACGCCAATCGAGGGCGGCAAATGGTTTTTCAAATCCATAGGCGCTCGAGGTCGCGAACGGCGTACATAGCTGGACACAGACGTCGACGTAGATGGCCGTGCCGCTCGGTTGTCCCGTGTACGGCCTGTCGTGGCGAAAACTGGTCGCTTTTCCAGTGCACGAGCTGATGGAAAAGCAGACGACGTGGGCGTATACGACGTGGGTGCTGGGGTGCATGATTTCAGTGCTGCTGTCTGCTTCTTTTTCAAAGAGCCGTTCCCGTTCCCGTTTAATGAAGCGACGGGCGATTCCAGATCCGAAAGTGCGCTCGTGCTGGCGCGCCCTAGCGCATACAGCGCCAGATCCTTCGCCGTCAGTCTCGACACTGGCTGCAGCTCTTCTTCCCCCTCGTCGACTTGATCCTGATGGCACTTGGTCGCTCCTCGCTTCTTCTCATCCACGTCAATCGTCGCAGTAGGTTCCAACTCTCCAACCACGTGTCTCGACACTTGTCCGTCCGTCGAGTCCGTATCAAAGTCTGAAAAGTCGTAGCTATCGTCCGTCTCGTACGCAGAAGTGTCTCCACCTTCTCCCTCCGACACATTGGTCACTCCATCTCCATCACGACGTCCCCCCCGTGGTCGCAACACCAGCGGCACTTTTCCACTCAACAACTTGACACCTCCCTTCTCGTCCCTCGTCGTACCCCCCTCTCCCTCCTCTCGCCTCCTCCTCCTTCTTTCCTCCTCTTCTTCTTCTTCTTCTGCTTCCAACTCTTTACGTCGTTTCTCCAGCGCCTCTTGCGAGCTCCAACGTCGCGGTCTCACTTCCTCATACGCTGCTACCTGAATGTCCGACTTGGGCGGCGAGTGGCCAATCGAACTGCGTCGTAAACGTCCGACGGTCGACTGCAGCATCTCGTCATACGCCGACGGTTTGATAGCTGAACTCGGGGGATTGTCCGATCGTCGACCGCGTGTCGCAGTCGCAATGGGCGACAAGGGCCCCGTCTCACGACTCTTCTGCAGCTCGAGCTCGCGGTGTCGCACATGACGCGCTTCGCGCTCTTTCACAAGCGCTTGACGTCGTTTCTGTTCACTGTCGTCGTCGTCGTCGTTGTCGTCCATTGCACCGTCTGCAGCAGTGTCGTCTGCCCTGTCTCTTGTTTCGTGGCTTTGAAAACGCACGCGCGAACTCGGCGGCCGCGCAGCGATGCCCGACCGCAGGGCAGACGAGACGGTCGACGGCGCATGGTGGCTCGTCTCCTGTTGTCCACGTGGCTGCGTGGCGAGCGACGGGCGACTGCTGCGATTGGACATGGGCACGCGCGAGCTCGAGTACACTAAGTACGGCGTGGACATGACCGGTGGGCCGCCATTCAATGGATCCGTGTCAAACGTCGCGGAGCTGTTGGCGTATTTGGACCGGCTCTTGTACTGCGCGTATCGCATAGTTGAAGCTAAGGCCGTGGCTGATGACGACGCATTGGTGGAGTGGACGGACGAGAGCGGACGACGATTGGACGACGACAAAGGCAACGCGTGTTGACGACGGGGCAACTGGCTCTTGGACGAAGATGCGCCAGATTGCGCATCGGCAAACGGGACAGTCGAGCGGGGGCGACTACTACTGTTTCGACTGCTGGGCTCGATCATAGGCGACGAGGACGAGAGAAAGGGGCTTTTACTGGACACGGACGTGACGCTCGTAGCGCTGCTGGGCGCATTGCGAGCCAAGCGACGCTGCGTCCGCTCGAGTTTCGAGCGGATTTCGTCCATCATGGCGCGCTCGGCGCTGAGCGGGACGTCACCGGAGGACGGCGGGAGCCCATACGACGTCTTCTTGCTGCTGCTGCTGTAGGTCATGGGCGACGACGACATGGGTGTGGGTGGGCGACAGGGAGGGAGGGAGCGACTCTTGGGCGTGGAAATGCGCGAGTGTACAGACAGCTATGGAACGTTTGTGAAAGCAACAAGTGACTGCACTCGCTCCCCTGTCTCTCTTTGTCGATTTTTGTATGTGTGTGTCTTCCCCCGTGTCTCTTTCTCCGCCTCTTTCTCGTTTACCAGCAGATGACGCCTCTGCCGCGGTGGCAACGCGGGTTGGGTGCGGGCGCGGGTTGTCTTGACTGCGCGTTTGTATGTGGAGCCGTTACGAAAGTGCGATGGGCCCTTTTGCACCGACGACACCTAGGAACCCGATGGCGCAAGCCCTTTCGTTCAGTGTTTTGAAGAGACGTTTTGAGTGACGTCGAAAGCAATCGAAGCCATGAGTAATGGAGGCAGCAACCGCGATCGCCATCCAGCTTGACGCTTTTTTCAATGCAAAAGAAAGAAACAAAAAGAAGATGAAAGAAACAGCCACGTGTAGCCGGTTTCGTCGCTACTGCAACGACGAAAGGATTCGACACGCGCCGATTGACTTTTTTCGAGATGTGGTCACTCGATCAGTGGCCCTGGAAAGAGATGGACACAGATGGCTGTCAAGACTTTTCAAGGTCGGAAAACGTGTCGCACGTGACGAACCAGCTGCTGCTTCAGGCGCTACGTCGACTTAACAACTTCAACGACATGTCACCGCTTCAGTTTCCGTCGTCTGAAGCGTCTTCGGCTGCAGACTCTTCCTCTTCTTCATTTTCTTCGTCGTCCTCTTCTCCTTCAGCATCGGACTCGCTCTCGCTCTCGTCATACTCGTCCTCGTCTTCCTCTGGGTCCGCATTGTCAGTCAGCAGCGCCTGCTTTATCTTGGCATCAAACTCGCCTTCCTTCTCTTGCATGCGGTTCACCGCCGCAGTCTTACTTCGGCGAGACGAGAGCTCCCGACGTACCGGTGCAGTCGCTGGCACATTCGTGCCGTCTTCTTCGCTCTCACCCGAGTCGCTCGAGTCAGATGAGACGTACCGTGCTGTCCGTCGTCGCTGGGCTTTCTTCTCTCTCTCCTGCTTCTTCAGCCATTTTTCGCGCTCAGCACTTGCTGTCACGAGCACCTTGCGCAGCACTTCTTCACGTTCTGCTACGAGACCGTGAGCCCATGCCTGATCCTGTTCTAGAGCCGCTGCCTGCTGGTCACCACCGCTTTGGCTCGTGCTTTGTTCCGCAAAGCTCGCGGCAATGCGTTTCAACACGGCCTCCGCACTTCGCAGCAATCCCTTCTGAGACTTAAAACATGACGAAGTCGCTTCTTGCAACAAGTACTTGAACAAAGCGGCTGATCGTTGTTCGTCAAGCGTGATGTCTACCCAGACAATCATCTTGAGAAGCGCCTTATGCCGCGTCGTCACAACGTCTTGGTGAATAGATGGAAGCGCGGCCACTTTTCCCAGCGCTAGCATTTCCAGACAGATCGTGATGCCGATTCGGTTGTGGTGCGCACAGTGGCGTTTCCCCGCTTTCTTCATCTGTTTCTTGCTCGACGCCTGCATTGCAGCCTCTTCTTCCTGTTTGTTGTGGCTCAACAGATGCATGACATACTTTGCGCAAGCACCCAAGTCGAGCATCGACTCGCTCTCCATATCTTCCTTCTCCATCGACTTTTGGATCAAATGCGTGACGGCCTCTTCCAGCAGCATACAATTTGCTGCCGTCGCCATCACAAACGCCGGGAAGAAGATGCTTAGTAGCTGGAGCGAGCGTGACTGGAAGCCGTGTTCGCTAAGCTTCTGCACATTCTGAAGCTCCGGACTAAAGTACGTCTCGAGCACGATAGCCAGCACTGTAACATTATCGATCCGATTCATCATAAACAATCGACAAAAGCCTTCCACAATAGTACTTTGGAGATCCAAGTCATCCACGACAATCAGTTGCGCCAGACCAATAAACACGGTGTCAAGATCCAGCCTTTCAGAAGCTGCTGCTGCTAGCCTCGCTTTGTCGTCCTTCTCCTTGTCTTCGTCTTTTTCTTTATCGTGGTCCACCCTTTCATTTGTACTCACATCGTCCTCATTCTGAGCCCCATTCTGATCAGCAGTATTGGCGTCTTTTTCTCCTTCCGCGTCACTGCTGTACTCGTCTGGCTTGGCACCAAAAATATGTGGCTTGAGATTTGAGAAACTAAACGTCGTATCCAGGATCGCCTGGACGCACGTGTGCTTGACCTCGCTCTCTTCGTCGGGGTTATTCAATGCACGCCAAAACACAACCAGATAACGCTCCGCGACACGCTTGTCAAGCAGACAAAACAGTCCAAGATTCTCCAGACCAGCTTCACGCAGCGCCGGCACATCGCTATCAATTGCAGGCAAAATGTAACGAGCCATTCCCTCCACGATAGGATCACCTAAATTGTGGGACGTCAACTTGAGTAGCTGAGCGACAATTTCGAGGCACCGAAGCCAGCTAAGCACCCTCGGGTCCTGCAAGATCGCCTCCAGTTTCAACATCTCCGCCTGAACCTCATTGTACTCCTCCGAATCGAACTCAAGCGTTTCCAAGTGCTTTTCTAGCTCCTCAAACTTGATTTCAGCTGCTTCACGCTCTTCTTCACTCAGTTTCTGCAACTGAGGACCGAAATTGAGCGCTAGAGCCTCATTTTCAGTCAGTAGCTCCTGTTGCGAAGGAGGAAGCTCCGAGCCTTCGTGCTGCAGTGGAGAAATTTCTTGAGTGTTTGCCTCCACAGAATCGTACATGTCAGAGATAATTTCAGCAACGACCTGGATAAACTCTTGCTCCGAGCTTCCGGAGTATACAAATGCCATCAACTCCATGATGCCTCTGATCAACATGCTGTCAGTTTCCAAATCGCACAGTAATTTCTCTACACAACACATGTATCGTTAGCCTTCGGTAGTAGGTATAGAAAACACAGAGTACATCAGACGTACGCAGGGAATCCAGTAAAGTGCGTCGTCCAAACTCATCTTGAAAGTCCAACAGATGCCCGAATTCTAGCAATTGCTGCGCGATGAAGAGGACATCACTCTGGGCTTTGCAAGTCGTCACGAGCAATTTGCTGAAATCTGACACGTTCGGTACAAGAGCCGCGGCCTTATCTGGATCACTGTCGATCTTCTGGTAGTAGTAACATTGCTCTTTCCAAAAGAAGATGCTCTCGGCATTGAACGCGTCGCTATTCTCCGACAACAACTCCAACGCGTTAAACTCGACGACGCCTTGATTTCCCAACATCGCTTGCGGCTGCTCCGAAAAGTGCTTCAAAAGTAAATGCGACACCTTCGATCCAATCGTAGGACAGTGCTCGATTTCCAATGCCTTAAGCAGCACCATCGGCGACGAATCACACTCTAAGAACCATTTGCCAAGCACCATGTGCTCACAAGCCCGTCTCACGCGCGCCGCACGGTCTTGCAGACCTTGATCCAGCAAATGGACTCGATCGTGGATCGGAATCTTCGCTAACGGCAGTTCCGTGCCAATGGTATGGAACGCAGCAAAGCGCACGTCTTCGCTCGTATCACGGATGCGGACCAGCAAGTCCTGATACGTCGTTTTGCTTACCGCCACACTAAGCAGCGCAGCCTTCCGGACTTCTCTATAAGAACAAGCAACAACAAAAGGACAACCACATAGCCATGCGTCATCATCCATTTATCTCTTGACACCAGCAAAAAACACATGGCAAAACACAAGTGCATAGCATGAACAGAACAATTAAACACCCACTTGGAAGGGTCGGCCACCATGAGCGTCCGGAGCTCCCGAGTCACCTCGTCCTCAGTCTCCTCTCCCTCTCCTTCCACTTGTTTATGCTGCAGTTTCCTCAGCCCATAAATACTCTGAATACGAACAGACGTCAACTTGTCCCGCAGTCGTCGTACCATCGCGTGTCGCAGCTGCGACACGACAACCGCGTCCTCGTCGGCCAGATCCAGCGAGTTGACAACGAGCTGCAACATGTGACACGCGCGCAGCCGCACGCCGCGATCTTCAGCTGCAGTCGCGTCCACCAGGCGCTTGAGCAGCTCGGCCCGCAGCTCGGCCGTGCCTTTCCACGCCTTGCTCTTGGTCTGTTGCCAGTGTAGAAAGGCGCCCACGAGGGATGCAATCGCGATCACGACGACGTCACTGACTTTCGACGTGACCATCACTCTCGCAACCCCTACCCACATCTCGTCCAGAAACAGGGCAAACGACTCTTCGACCACGTGGCGCTTGCCGTCGCTCACTTCGTCACGGAAGAGCGTCTGGAGACGGCGCACGGCCGGGACAAGCGTCTGCTGATGCGCGGCACCTGGTGCGTGACGGACGTAGCGACTGCTCTCGACGGCCTGGAGCTGCACGTCCTGAAACACTTGCCGCAACGTCAACGTCCATTCCGCACTCTGGTCGTCGCTCATCACAGACCAAGAGTGTTGGTGGATGTACGTTGAGGCAATGTTGGATATCCTGTGAAACCGCATACGTATCCACTTTGACAGCTCACGGATTGTTGCGATCCGACCCTGTCCTTTCTATACCGACTCCGGTAGTCGACCGACCGACCGACCGACCGACCGACTGCGGCTCGTCGTCAATCCATTGAGTATCTTGAACAAAAATGGAGCTGTAGACTGCCTGTCAATGTGTAGCAATAGACTGCCTGTCAATGTGTAGCAATATACAGCCTGTCAATGTGTAGCTGCTCAGTTGCTACCGCGGCCAGCGTATCCACGATCAATAGACCTTTGTAGCGTACGTCCTGCACGTCTCAACTTCCAGCGATCCGCCCTTTCTCAAGTACCGTTGCGACGCAGACATTGCTGCCAAAGCGCACGATATGCCGTCAGTTGACCTGCCGTTCACGTGGACGCGACAAAAGAACTCGCTGTCAGCTCTTGAGCTCAAGCAGCGCCTTCATGCACCCACGCCGAGTTTCCAGCAAACGGTTTTACTGGTGCATTGCATCAACATGAGACAAGGCAACAAACAACCCGACAACAACTCGGCGCGGAACATGCCTTGTTTCAGTACTTTTCCCGCACCGAATCGTAATCGACCACTGCAACCTGCCACAGGCGACTTGCCAAAATTAAGGCCCGGTCCACATCAATGGTACCCTAAAACCGGCACCATGGACCGCGAATGTACCACGAAAAAGGTACCCCATGATGCAAGCCGAACCAGAAAACCAAGGGACGCGAGTGGCGACGAGCGAAGACGAAGGCGGCGTACCCCTTCCCCTCTGCTCGGTATTGGGTACAAATCAGTATGGAAGGAGCACAAGCAGAAGCGGGACAGCGTGACGATGTCGTGTCAGCGAGTTTTCGGAACGACGTGCTGCAGGCGGAAGGCAATTTGAGCGCACTGTGGCACTGTATACGGGCTTATAAGCAGTCAACGACTGCGTGGTGGGACGCGACAGCTGCTGTGCTGAATGAGTACAAGCGCGTGGCTGAGACGCCGCTTTTTTGTGCCACTGCACGGACGAAGAAGACGGAAGTGATGAGGGAGATGGAGCTTCTTAATAGCCGTGACCATAACCATGAGCAGGATCAAGAACAGGAGGATAACAGTGAGACACATGCTGCTCGACTAGTCAGAGCGCTGGTTCAGGTGCTGGCGTCGGTTCAGCCCGAGTTTGATCAAATGTGTGAAGATGCAGTGCTGAAGCCGTTGAGTGCACTGTGTCACGACGTGCTGCCGGAGGTGAAGCACACGTACTGGACGAGACATAGTAGCTGGAGTCATGAAGGTTTAGCGAGGGAGACACAGGTTCGACGGCTTGAACAGGAGCGCGAGACGTTGTCTACGAAGTTACGGGAGGATGTAGAGACAAGTATGAAGGCGTTTGTGAAGCTTCAGGAAAAAGTGCTGGCGGCTATTCAAGGCTTGAAAAAAGAACAACACGTATCTCGACATCAAAGCCAGTTGCAGCCAGAATGTGCAGCGAGAAAGAGGGATTTAGGACACAAAAGCTCAGGTGATTTTGGTTCTTTACAGGCGTCTTCGACGGAGTTACATGGTGTAGATGAAAGTGTTGCGGCTTCGAGCAGTGAGATTAATTATGAGGAAATTGTGCAGGTACAGGTATCGATAGATGCGGCCGCCCGAGCTGATGATTTATTGGATACAGGGGAGAATTCAGTAGCTTCAAGTGTTGAAGTTGATGGAGCTGGTATGAGTGTGGATGCAAGCAAGCGTAGAGAAAGCATGGAAGGTGAAGGCTGCAGTGACATTGACGACGTTGAATTAGCTGGAGATGAAGCGGAAGTAGAGAGGGCGGATAAAAGTACAGTGGATCAGGATGTTGAGGAGGGGGCAAGTTCTCACATGTGGGTGTGGGGGCGGCCACCCAGTCTAGAAAGCGGGACCCCGGTTGTGCTTCGTCCGAAGAAAGTATCTTTGCTTAACGGACAATCGATTGTGCAAGTGGCTTGTGGCGGCGAGCATCTGCTTTATCTGACATCAACAGGAGACGTATACAGCTACGGTGACAATGAAGATAAAAAAGCTGCAGCTGTTACTATGGCAATCAAGAACAATCCGAATGACAGCGAACCAGCTCGCAGCAGCGTAACTGTGTCGTTCCTTGCACCCCGTCTCGTCGAAGAGCTTGCGCTAGAAAAAGCTCTTCATCGCACGACAATTGCAACGATCGCATGCGGTGCTCAGCATTCGTTGGCCATTACCGACGCTGGAGAATTGTATACATGGGGTAGTGGTGAAGATGGGCGCCTTGGACATGGTGACATGCGAGACCGCGCTGTGCCACGCAAAGTGATGAGCTTGCTGCGGGAGAGCGTGGTGAATGCTAGTTGTGGTGGGGCGCACACGGCTGTGCTTACTACGAAAGGTACTGTGTTCACGTTTGGTCGAGGGCGAAACGGTCGTTTGGGTCTGGGTGATTATAGGTGGCGAGACACACCTCATCCGATACAGGAATTTCCGAAAGGAACGCGTGTCGCGCATGTTGTATGCGGCTGGAACTTTACAGCAGCGCTGGATTGTGAAGGTAAGCTCTTCACGTGGGGCAAGACTGGTGAGGGGCAATGTGGATTGGGATATGTGGACAAGGACCAGGTGGTTCCGCGTTGCGTCGAGAAGTTGCGGGAGGTAGCGGGTGGCTCAGTAGTTGTCGACGTTGCGTGTGGATATACACACACCGTTGTGATGACAGCCGTGGGTGAATTGTTTTCGTGGGGATTAGGCGAATATGGGCAGCTTGGTACAGGAGATGTGTATCAACCGCTACCCGCACGCGTACAGTTACCTGAAGACGTTTTGTGCTCTCCTGATCAATTAGCACGAGTGTATTGCGGCGCTTTCCACTCCATTGCAACAACAGAGAATCACGTCATGTACGCATGGGGGCTAAACTCGTACGGTGCTTGCGGTCTCGGGCACACTGCGAACAAGGACAGACCCGAACGCGTTGACTGTTTTTCTACTGAAACTGAGCTCATTGTGGCCTGTGGACACAAGTATACTATCGCTCTTGAGGTGCATTGTGCTCTGAATGGACACGGTTCTTCTTCAATCCAAGCAAGTACTCAGTCAGGAGCAGCAGTAGCAACAGCGGCATATAGACTGGACATACCAAGGACACAAAGACAGATTTCGGAGGGCAGTGAAGCAGGTGAAGATGAATTATATCGTGGTCGAGTTTTGTCGGACAAACCGAACTCCTCGAATCGTGCAACAAGGCATCGACGAGGTTCCTCGTTCAGTACGGCAATGGAGCTCGACGATGTCCCGCGTGAGGCTTTCCATGTTAAGGAGGAGGAGCTGCGGCGAGCTAAGAAGCTTTGGCGCACCCGCATCTTGCGCGATTGGGAGGAAAATAAGGACACGCCGCTAGCACATTCGTTGTGGCGCCAGGGTATCCCGCCCTCGATTCGAGCTCGCGTGTGGCCCATGGCTATTGGCAATAAGCTGAAGGTGACCCCTGAGATGTTCAAGATTTACCGTCGACGAGCAATTGCTTACAAGAAGGATCGAGTTGCACAGGAAGACAATGGTACTGTGGATGGCGGCCGTGAACATACTTTGGCACTAATTGACACGGATCTTCCGCGTACGTTCCCGTCACTGAAGTTATTCGACTCGAGTGGTCCATACTACGCCTTTTTGCTGGAGGTCCTTGAGACATATGCGTGTTACCGACCTGACTTGGGATACATCCAAGGCATGTCGTACTTGGCCGCTATGCTTTGTCTGCACATGCCCCAAGACCGCTACCTGGCCTTCCAGTGTTTGGCAAATCTAATGGTGAACGAGCATCTCTTTACCTTCTACTTGCTGGACGCCGATCTCGCAAACGTGTACTACACTCTGTTCGACGCGTTTCTGAACTCGCGACACCCTCATCTTCACGCTCATTTACGGGAGATTGGTATCATGTCTTGCTCCATGTATCTCATGAACTGGCTCCAGACACTCTTTTTGCAGGTGCTGCCACTCGAGTCAGCAACTCGTGTGTTTGACAACTTTTTGCTGGACGGGACGGTGTTCCTCTTCCGTACTGCCATGGCGATTCACGAATTATTGGGTCCACGGCTGATAGTTGCAGACATTGACGTTGCGCTCCCTTTGTTGCAGCGCAATGTGATTTACCAGGAAGAGTGGAGTATGTTGGTGTCGGAGCAAGCTCTTTTCGATACCGTGGCGACTATTGCTGTACCCAGTCACATCTACTCTGCGCTCGACCGCGTGGTGAACGACGTCTTTTTCTACGAAAAGCGTGGGGAGCTTGATAGTGCTGGAGGGAAAAAGATGATGGCATTTGCTAGTGGAGGTCAGAGCGTCGGGATTGGACACGTGAAGCACGAGCGGCGTCGCATGTACGCCATTAGTGATGCACTGAACGGCGTTCTGGGTGGATTTTGAGAAGATCTACTGCAGTGTACTCGTCAGTGAAGTGTCGGTATACGAACGTGCTCGAAGGCGCTGCAACACTGGACTGACCACTGGAGTATGTGTGCTGCATCAGACCTATTGATGAGGAAGTATAATGCGTGTTTGTGGGCAAAAAAACAAGCAGGCAGTTTAATCCGCCGCGTTGAAGTTCCCCTGAGTTCGCGTCTATCTGAGACCTGCTCTCAGCCATGTACTAACGGATGCACTATGTTCTCGAATTGCAGCTGCGGAGGTTTACGAGATTCCGATAGTTAGTAACAACGTTGCAAGGAGTGGGTTCAGCTTTGCATTCAGAAAGGTGGCGTGCGGAACACATCCAAGCAATCCAGTCTTCAAATACCGTCGACGGATACACTTTCGCCACGACTTGATTCCCTCCTACTTCTTCGACGATATTGTACTGCTCGGACGAAACGGACCAGTGCAGCATAGTAGGTCACTACGCAGCACGGGTATACAAAAAAACAAAACGTCGCAAGACCAACCCATTCACCCACTCGTCTTTGTAGCTGCAGTTACAAGAAGAAAAACACACACGTATATAGTAGTAGGTGTCGTGATAGCATCGAAGATCGACTACAATGAGAACAATAATGCCATCAGGCAAAGGCGGTCTATTTCCAATCACTTCATTATTATATCGAGCGATCCCAAGTTCCTGCTTTGTTTGACAGCCAACCCATTCAGATCAATTCATTCATTACCAGTCCCTCCTCGTCTTTATCCTTCGCCAACTCCCTCCTCCAGTAGACTATGCGAACCAATTACGGGCTCATTAGCAGCCCCGTGCACCTGTCGCCCCCTCTGCTTTGAAGTCAACAAGAGTCGCACTGACTTGTAAAAACGAGGCACCTCATTTCCCTCCCACGTGAAACGTTCCTAACGAACATATCTCTGCTGTCGTCAGTCGTCTGGCCACTGGTCCGTTGTGATCGCGCACTGTACGTCACGAAAAGACCATAACAATGGACTGAAAAACCAGCGACTTCGGACAAGCAGCGAGAGCTCGACCGTTTCGGTTCAACCGTCTCACGTCTGGGTTTGGCCATGGACTACTTACTACTCCTCCCTCCAGCTTGCGAAACGGGAATTATATGCACGTATCTTTCGGCGGCGCATTGCGGCCAGCTGAAGCGACGCAGATACTTCAAGAGCACTTTTCTCAGCTGTTAACACGCTCACCATTGGCTCCTCAAGAGTTCACGCGGCCGTTTTGTTTTTTATCCTAGTAGGAGGTGTTGCTAGACGAAACTCCTGGGCGTGCGAATCGAATTGTCTCGTGTCCCGTTCCGTGTGACGCTCGGTGGGGGGGGCGAGGGACCCTTGCGGTTTATGGCGGTTCAGGCTTGAATAGCGACTACGAGGTTGGTATTTATTTACAAACACTGGAAACTACGGAAGCCCTTCATCTTTGAGGAATAGACAGAAGACAGACAGACTTGGTACTTGTGGACAATCGGGAGCTACTGGTCTTCGAACGGAGGCATAGATAGCGTAGCATCGCAGATAGACGATGATGGTGATGTCCTGCCGGGACTACTGCCGTGCTATCCGGGACAGGTGTCCAGTAGTGCATCAGCTACTAATGTCCACACGGGCCGAATCCATTCGACAGATTGTTGAAGATAATTAAGGGAGGTCAAGGACGTGCGGTAGTTGCTCAAATGTCGAGGGCTCTATGCGTCTCCGTTACCAGGTATGATTCTGGCGAGCATTACGACGTGGTAGTCAGTGCTTTCGGTCCGGAAGCTGCAAACTCTTCACAGGTGGAGGGGGCAGTGTTCGAGAAAGAACAATAGTAGAGGTGACGATGCCGCGTCTACATGTTCAAAGCGTGCACGAGCTGATGGCATGTAGTTTGCGACTTTAACGTCCTCTTCGTTGTCGCTGAAGTAGAAAGACGCGTCCATTAGACTATTGAAGCGTCTTGAAGCGTGAAGCACGAAAGCTTTGAGCGCCGCCGTGCATTTTAGGTCGAAATTTGCCGACGTTTCAGTATCGGAACAGATACCTGACACTTTCGCCGCCGTCCCTTTTTGCAGATACAATCAAACGAGGCTTCTATAGATACGAGTGTAGTAGTCGCTAGCCGTTATGCTTGGAACCGCCTCATTATAATCGCAAAAGAAGAAGAAGAAGAAGAAGAGAAAACAAAGGAGACAGCGGCTCACTCACGTGCGGGAGTTGTATACTCTCTCGATCTTGTCTTCTCTCTCTCGAACCAACTGCTCGATCTCAATCGATCACTTTCGATTCATCTGTCTCGGTCCAAAGTCCAGTTTCCCAGGACTTTGTCAGTAGTGCGTGAGCCAGTAGCGTCCCTAAGCCTTCAAAAGCATCCGCTACTTTCCTACTTCTCGACATCATGACACCTACTACCGACTGGAGATCCAGTACACCCGAGCAAGGCGAATACACCTTCCTCCTCTTTCAATCTGACGCTAGTACTCCGTCCTACGAAGAAGCTCAATACACAGCTTCGACTCCACATACCTCACTCAGCGACGAGGACATCCTCGACAAGATATTCCAAGAAATCATGTCACCACAGGACGTACCGTCAAGCAGCTCTGGGGTGAACTCGCCAACTGCTACCAGCCCCTATCAGCCCGTGCTGTCATCGACGTCGGGCCTCGCGACTTCCAACACTTCGGCTCCTTCCACACCGCAGCTCCATAGTACTCTACGTCGAGGCAGCATCCCATCGGCTTCGATTGGGACCATTTCACCCAACATGGCCACATCTCTACGTGTCCCGACTTTCCCAATGAGTCACACGACAGGAGCACTTCGCAACAACACAGTGTTCTTCCCTACACTATCGGATGCCAAAACCAGCCGAACCAATGCCACTTGTCTCCACGGAAGCTACGCTTCAATGCTCTTTACTTCCCCAACGGCAGCGAGTCGCCGTACCTATCGACGCACGAGTCGATCAACTCGTCTTCAGAAGAAAAAACCGGCTTCCCGCATTTGCCGCATGGCGGGATGCACGAAAGGCATTCGCTCGAGAGGTCTGTGCAAAGCTCACGGAGGAGGTCGTCGATGCACGACTCCTGGGTGCGAAATCAGTGACCAAGGTGGAGGTCACTGCATCGCACACGGCGGTGGCCGTCGGTGCTCCATCAGTGGCTGCCAGAAGTCGGCTCAGTCGAAAGGGCTGTGCAAACTCCACGGCGGGGCTCGATTGTGCCGCTTACCCGACTGCAACAAGAATGGCCAGATCAAGGGACTGTGCCGTCTACACTACAGCCTCACACTGGCAGGGAAGAACGCGGTGACAATCAAGGTCGCAGGTCTTATGCCTGAGCTCGAGTTACAACACAGTAGTAGCCGGAGTCCGTGCGACTTTGAGCTTCGGGTTTGAGCTGCCGGAAGCGACCGCATGTAGTAGTTAGTAGCAATTTAGCACCCGTACAACACGACTGGACCTAGATACAAATACCCGTCTGAATATGAACGATACCCACTAGACACGACCTCGACTTCTCGTACGTTACCAAGTATTAGTACGGCATCTTGGCGACGCATGCCGTGTGTTGACTCATGCCGTCTTTGCAAACAGAGTACGATACTTGTTACGCTGAACTCTTACTGAAGGAAACCGTTTGCCAAAGCCAACCTGTACATGCTACGGGTTGTGTTATAAAGCACCTCTTCATGAGGTCGTGTCCTACATGTTAGAGCCTGTACAGATCAAGGTAGTCAGGAAATTAACGCGAGACGAAAGCTTCAAGTTGGTTGCGCTGCTCTTACTGTCATGCTTCCTGTAGCCTTATCCCAACAAAGCTCGCTATTCCTCATTAGTTTGCAGTGTCCATGTAAGAGCGACAAGACGTTACATTGTTTTCTACCACTGTGCTGGGGCGCTGCTGCGGTGAACAATGCAAAACTGTAGGTTACAATCGCACGTAGCGCTGACAGTTTCAGCAGTTCCAAAGAAGTGTGCGAGGAAGTCCCGAACCACTGCTCGATCACCGATCATGTCTGCATAAAGTCCACGACAAGTTTCGAGCCGGGGACGTCATCGTCACCAGATGAGTATTGACAACTGTACTGCATACGTCAAGAGGAAGTCGATCTCTCTACCTCAGGAATGTTGGCAGTGGTTGAGGTGCTCATGATTCTATTTCCGAACCGACAGCGCTCGCTGACGGACTCGAAGACTCGTGACTAAGGTTGAGATAATGCGATTCAAGACCATACAAGTGAACGGATGACCCACGAATGAGACAGATGCTTGTAGCTGCATGTGATATGTAAGGATAAGGCATTGCTTGGTAAAGCTGAGGTTGCGAAGGGTGAGAACGAATGAATCGTTGGCAAAACTAGCATGATGAAAGCCTCGTCCTCTATTGTACAGTGATGCCGATGACATTGGCATACTCGAGCAACCGGTACCATTTCATGCTTTAACCTGGCCGACACATTTTTGTGCGTCTCTCTCGTTCAATTGCTTTTATTTACATCACAAAGCATAGTGAAAGACTTAGAAGGCGATGGTTGGATGAACGGTCAATTTGTCTGCTCTTTCGATAAGATATGGATTCGCTACGTGTGCTTCGTTGCTGCACCGGATACGTAAGCTGAGAGCGAGTCAGCCGTGAGTTGAGCGTCAGGCCAGTTGGTCAGTCGGCCATAGCTAATGATACCTATGAGGTGACAGAAGAGCAAGCTCTAGAGCTCGCTCCTTCACTGTAAATATCCCAGTGAATCAAGTTCTGTACATTCACGTTCCATATTGGTCAATAGTTCTAGAATGGGTCGTACGCTATGTGTGGAAAATTGAGGCTGCTTGATATATCGTGCGAACGCTACCTCTTGATGGGTTGATGTGCTAAGGAAAAGAAGGGAAGAAAGAAGACGGTGGAATATCTTGCCCAGCAACGCCATGAACAAACTAAAGCGCAGCCGACAAATTGTAATAGATTAATACAACTGAGAAATTGATACGAGGGAGCTTCCTCTGCTAGCTAGAGACAAACATTGCCATAACATCCTGCTATTCGAGTAGATCAAGTGCTTCGGATGAAAACAACTTCACAAATACTGTTTGTCGGAGGTGCGAGACTTTCGCTGCCCTTTGTATCGACCCGTTGCTTTTGAACCCTCTATCCGCGCTGGTTCACTTTCATGCCAATCATGTACGAGCAAGCGGCTTTTAGGGGCGTGTGTGACTTCCACTCTCTTCGCATGGACGCAATTTGCGACCTGATTAAGGTGTGACACCTGTAATGTATGAGAATACCTTTGAGAATGGGACAAGCTATATCGCACTTCGCACGACATGTAAGGTACACCCAGTGGTTATTACAGACAGACAAACAGACCCACATGCAGTCAGCCAAGTACGATTTAAATAGTTCAGCGTTGACTTTGAGCGTCCCCCATCTGGTCGTTAATAGTGTCCCTATCAGCACAAACTTCCAATAATAAGTCGATCGGCCTGACTCGCTAGCCTCGGTGCAATGCACCACAAATTTAATGCTGCCCTAAACATCACGGATGCGCTGTAGTTGACCGTAGCGCAGAATTTGCTTGGTGTAAAATCAACGACTTTGACAAGCAAAAAATGATGGCCAACTTGCTGACAGAGTCAAGCATTGGATGCTATGTTTCGCATAAGATGAAGCAGTAGCGAGTAACCCGGACTTGGTGACGAATAAGCATGTGCGACGTCCCGAACTTTGTTAGATTAGTAGTGCTGGGCGTTACGGTTGCGCACGCACAGCTGAAGCTCGACATATTCGTTTGCGCACGTATTGTATACAAATTAGAAAACGCTTCCACAACATGCAGGTGTTCGTATAGTCCACCAGTCATATGATCTGGCGTCTATCGCTGCTGAGCGGAAGTGTTGGTCGGTCGACAGCTTTTCAGATCGCGCAAAGCTCTTCCCAGGGAAATTAGTGGTCACAGCTATTGCTGCTGGTTATGTGAAGCTAATACCGTTGATGACGTCTTCTTCAGCTAATGAGTAAGAAGCAAGTAAACATTCTCAGGATGGTGCTGGTGAGAAGTGTAACGGGGTGAATCGTTACATAACAATTTATAAGAAATTGTTAATAGAATATAACTATAAGAGTTATATTCTCAGAATATTGTCATAAGGACAAATATTCTGTAGCACTTACGAGTAGTTCCTAATTGGTTGATATAGGCCATTATATCAACCAACGAAGACGCGCCACGACAGACGCACGCAATGAGTGGTGAGCAGATAATTGATTTACACATTTGTATTCAGACATAGTTAGATGAAGATAAATAGTGATTTATTGCAGACATTAACTATACTAAATACAGTTCTACTTTTTACTTTAACCAAGTACTCGCTTCTTCTTACCGTCTTCCTCTGCACGTACGAGTGTACGTGAAGTTACGAGGCACCGCCTTATTCTGTCATCAGAATAAGTAGCTTGTACTGTCACCAGTACAAGCTTCAGGGTGCCCCGTTACACCTGGTAGCACTTCGTAGTCCGTCCAAGGACCACGTTCACATCTAACATGAATATGTTGGATGATGAAGATGACCAAAGCTTTCACGCTACGTGTGACGGCTACTCCCATTTGAGCGATGTCGAATGGGATGCGGTTGAACGAATGGGTTCGACCATGGGCATCCATGCTGTTAGCGTCACGCTAGAGGCTCTCAATAGAGATGCCCAACATGCTACTATCGCCAAGTTCATTCAAAATGAACTTGACGCTGAACGCGAGAAAGTAGCCTTGCTTCACCAACAAGGTTCTCAACAAGCGGAGTTGTTGAGAGAACAGGGTGCTCAACAGTTTGAACTGTTGAGACAGCAGCAGGCTGCTGCTGGCGGGTCGATGCACTCGCGTCGACCCGAAACCTTGAAGATTGACATCTCAAAGTATAGGGGGTCGAAGAAGACTCCCTCTTGAGACGGTTCGTCGAATTGGATGACGCCATAAGAGCGCGTCGCATCGACGACGGGGATATGCAAGTTGCATTTGCCCAGTCAAATCTGGCAGGACGTGCCAAGACTTGGGCACTGGGGCTCAAGTTGCACGACCCATATGCGTTTGGGTCGTTGGAAGTCTTCAAGTCGCGGCTCAGACAAACGTTTGAACCGCCTAGAGCTGAGTTCAGGGCTCGAACCAAACTCTTGAAGCTCAAACAGGGTAAGTGTGATGTGCACGCTTACGCACAACGTATACGACATCTCACGAGTTGTATAAGTTCCAATCCGGTGGATGAACACACGTTGGTTTTGGTGTTCATGCAGGGTCTTGCGGATGGTCCCGTCAAGACTCACCTGTTCCGGCTTGAACGAGATTCACTAGAACAAGCCATTTCCATTGCGGAGCAGGAAGACTTCAGTCTGAGACAGGCTCGCGCCAGCTCGACATCATATCGTCAACCGAGACGATATGACAACGGAGGTCCAGAGCCGATGGAACTCTGTTATGTAGAGAGCGAGAAGGCTCGCTCTACAGGCTACAAGAAGTTGCAGAGATGCAACAGATGTCAAAAGACAGGACACTACGCTTACGAGTGTAGTGCCCCTCGTCCAGTGTCTCGCGACACTGGGCGTAGTGACCGTCCACCCATGAGAAAGGGGCAGGGACTAGGGTCCGCTGTTGGTGCAAAGACGCAACAACGGGATGAACCGTCAAAAAACGGACAGGATCAGTAGGTGCGGAGCACCCTACTGGTCTAGCAACGTCAAGAGAATTTGTAGGCCTCTTGATGAAGGTTGCTCCCAACACACAAACGTTGTGCGTTGCTGCTCTAGGTAATGAGGTCTCACTCATTACCTTGAAACTCGAAGTGACGAATAAGTTGTCCCTTCGAGCTCTAGTCGATTGTGGGGCGTCCAAAAATTTTGTGCAACGCCAATCGCTAGAAGATGGTCACTTTAAGTTCAGTGAATGTGACACACCTCCTACGAGGATGACGGTACGTCTTGCGACAGGCGCATCCGTAACCGTCATGAAGCGTATAGTGAAGATCCACTATACGCTAGAAGATACCCAATATGACGATGACTTCATCGTATTGGATTTGGATGACAAATTTGATGTCATCCTTGGAATACCGTGGCTCAGAAGGTACGAACCACGGGTAAACTGGCAACATCGAACAGTAACGATGCCTGCCGCTTGTTCAACAGATGGCCACCTGATGAACGTTTTGGAGCTTCCACAAGCGTGTGGATGTACTACGAGTGAGTGCGATGGCCTCACTTGTGGTACGGTCGTTAGTACGACTGCACAAAACCTTAGTGTACCAAACGGTTACACTTCGGATCAAAGTTCCGGCGGCTGTGAGGAAACACAGGCTGCGCCGAAGGTCCACCACTCGAATAAGTCGGGTGGACTGGGACAAAGATGTATCCCTAGAGGGGAACATCTAGAAGAGAAACAATCGATCGCTCAGGTTAAGCGAAACGATAATCCTAGATCGACTGGAGAGTCTTTCGTAGAGGATCTCGCTGTGGTTGCGCAACCCCAGCTAGAGGAAGTAAAGGGAATAAGTCCCAAGATTACAAATACGGCGGAAATAAGTTCCCCGAAACCCGCGGGAATAAGTCCCCGGGAAGACGAAGGAATAAGTCCTTCGAAGCCTGAGGGAATAAGTCCCCAGGAAATGACAGAGACATTGAATGTCATAGTCAATAACGGATCAAGTGTAGGCGCTTAAACACTTGATCTAATTGCGCATCCGGGGCTAACTACGGAGAGCACTCAGTTGCCAACGCTCGAACATAAAAGGTTCTTGCGTGATCTGCGTAGTGGCAAAGTCAAGCAGATCTGCGTACTCGTCGCTGACGATGAGTGTGTAGCCGGCATAAGGTCAGCAACAGTGTTTACTGAGAACGAGAGAGTTCTCAGTAGTTCATCTATGGACGAGAGTGTCCTAGATGAAAAGACACGAATTGAGCGATATGACTCCCAATCGTGGGAATCGCTCAAGAAAAATCCTCTTTATGAAGATTTGGTTGAATTCAAGGATGTATTCCCTGAAACTGTTCCGTGCGAATTACCGAAGGATAAAGGTATTCGACACGAGGTCGAGCTTAAACCAGGCTCGAAGTACTGTGTCATGAAGCAGTGGCCACTGCCTCGTGAACAAGTACTTGCGATCGACAAGTTCTTTGCCGATCGTTTAGCAGCGGGCCATGTGAGGGAATCAACTTTCCCACATAGCTCTCCGACCTTCTGTGTGCGAAAAGCAACAGGAGGGTGGCGGATAGTGCACGCGTTCAACAAATTGAACGCTGCAACGGTACCGGCTCAGACGCCGATACCGAGGAAGGACGTAATCATTGATGGTATGTCAAAGAGTACCATCTTTTCGTCCATGGATTTGATGGATGGCTGCTATCACGTCCTTATGCGGGAACGGGATATACCCTATACCGCAGTTAGCACGCCTAGCGGCATGCTCTGGGAATGGCTAGTAATGCCACAAGGGCTCAGTAATGCCCCTGCCACGTTCAACAGATGTGTATCACATCTGTTGAGACCAGTACGAGAATTCGCGCCGAGTTATTTTGATGACGTATTCATCCATAGTCGAGCTATGGATGGAAAGTCGGACGTTGAGGTTCACAGGTACCACGTCCGACAAGTTCTTACAATCATGCGAAAGCATCAATTGTATGCAAACCTCAAGAAGTGTATATTTGCAGCAAGCGAAATACCACTTCTTGGGTGCATCGTTGGTAAGAACGGTGTACGTCCTGATCCCGAAAAGATCAAGGCGATCACCGACTGGCCTGTGCCGGTCGATGTCAAAGGCCTTCGAAAATTCCTTGGGCTAGCGGCGTATTTGCATAAGTATTCACGCAATTACGCCGAGATGACTGTGCACATCTCTCGTTTGTTGAAAAAGAACGAGAGGTGGTTATGGAACGCTGAATGTCAACGCTCCTTTGAGGGTATCAAGCAGAGCTTGATACAATCCCCAGTCCTAGCAATAGCCGATCAGGACAGACCATTTCATGTGGTCTGTGATGCCAGCGATTTCGCAATCGGCTGTGCATTAATGCAGTACGATCTTGAAGGCGTTGAACGCGTCGTCTGCTATCAGTCGCGTCAGCTACTGCAACCAGCTGAGCGGAACTATCCAGTGCATGACAAGGAACTCCTTGCCATGAAGTATGCACTCGCGAAGTTCAGAGTCTATCTATTAGGAGATAGACCCTTCATTGTTTACACTGACCATGCGTCATTACGCACGGCAGTGAACAGCCCGCACCTTTCACAACGAATGGCGCGGTGGTTGTCATTCTTTGCGGAATACAACTTTACGGTCGAGTACAAACCAGGACGACTTAATGTCGTCGCTGATGCACTCTCACGTCGTCCCGACTTTGAAACAGTCGCGAAACCCAACAGTGAGACAGTCACTCTTGCGGTTATGGTGTCCTCAGTCCCATCTACAACGTTGTATGATGATGTGAGGCGGGCATACGCCCAAGATGGTGAGATTGTGAAGTTGTTGACACATCTCTCCCAACCATCTCGAGAATCGTTGAAACGATTGTCGCCTGCGTATCGATCTGCATCAGATCGATACACTACTCGCAACGGTTTACTGTATTATACAGCCGTTACTGGTGACACACCACGTGTTGTCATCCCAGATGATACTGATCTGCGTTTGCGGATCATGTTCGAGCATCACGATGCTCCTATAGGAGGACATCGTGGCCGAGAGAAAACATATCTCACGGTAAGTCGAGACTTTTACTGGCCCCGCCAGTATCAGTTTGTGCGAAAGTATGTTCGCGCATGCGAAGTCTGTCAACGAGTGAAGTCAAGTCCTTCACTGCGTGCACCTTTACAGCCTCTACCGGTTCCGGCTGAGTGCTGGGAATCCATCTCAATGGATTTCGTCTTCTGGTTTCCCAAAGACGCACGCGGGAATACGGGTATTCTCGTATTCGTTGACAGATTCAGCAAAATGGTACACCTTGTGGCTGTACCAGAGACAATCACGGCAAGTGGCTGAGGTTGTGTCTTTATCGACACCATCTTCCGACTTCATGGTTACCCTGTGAACTCGCATTAGACAGAGATCCACGTTTCCCTGCTAATTTCTGGCGTTCCGTGTTCAAATCACTCGGAACGCGCTTGAAGATGTCGACATCTGATCATCCAGAGGCAGATGGTCGGACGGGAAGAGCCAATCTTGTCCTCGAAGAGATACTTCGAGGATACGTACACTCCTTTAAGAGTTGGAGTGAGTTTTTGCCAATAGTAGAGTTTGCCATTAACAACTCGGTGCATGCGTCCACGACACATACATTGTTTTACGTGAATGGCTTGCGCCATCCGCGTGTACCCACCTTACTAGAGTGTAACTCTGGTTTAAGGAGGGACTCGCGCGAGCAAAAACCGATTTGGTTCACGCTCATCACGCTCTGACGATGAGGTCATTGCGTTTGATGCCAATATCGATAGCATCGATATCGAAGAAGATGATGCCAGTGAGAGCGCGGAAGCCCTCACTGAAGAAGATGATACCAGTGAGAGTGCGGAAGCCCTCACTGAAGAAAAGATTGATGTTGCTGCAGTGCGCTCACAGCACACTGAAGCTAACGAGTCATCAGATGAGTTCATACTGGCTCGTGAAACGGTAGTCCGTTTTGTGCAAGACTCCATCGCCGAAGCGGTGGATAAGCAAAAGCAAAACGCTGACAAGAATGGAAGGGCAAACACTCTTTTATTTAATAAAGGTGACTTAGTCCTACTGTCTACGGTTAATCTACCAAAACATGTAGTGACTAACTTGGGTAGCAGTAAACTACTACCCAAGTACATTGGCCCATTTCGTGTATTGCACCGCCTAGGCAATGCATACACGATCGAGTTACCATGTAAGATGCGAACGCATCCCACGTTTTACGTTGGTCGGCTTAAGCCGTACCATCAGTACGCTGCTTCTTCCGATGAAGAACGCCCTTGCGCTCAAGCATCTCGCAGAGAGCCTTGTGCTCCCGATGTTGGGCATCAACAAGGGTCTGAAGAGCAGTTATCTCAGCCCGAGACCGATCAACAATCCCACGAGCTACCCTTAGCTCGTCACGAAGAGATGTCAGAGATCTCTCTTTCTCGAGCTGAGCAAAGGCAAAGTCAGCTCGATGCTTCGAGGCAGTGTCCGCCATTTGGAGACGCATATTCCGCTCATGTTCGAGATCGTCGCGTAACCCTTGCGTTACGCGATCAAAGAAGCTCTCGGGAACACACCGATCCACATGATCGTGTGGAGAGCGTCTTTCCTCCTCCTCCACCTCCATTAGAGGACTCTCGCGGTGGCCAGCGCTATCTAGTTGAGCAGCTGTTGAACCACCGCGACGTGAACGGACGTCGGACGAGTTATCTCGTCCGGTGGCGCGGCTATTCCCCGTCCTGGGATTCTTGGGAGCCCCTCTCCCAACTGATGATCGACGTACTGGGTCTGGTTGAGCAGTACGACGCGGCACATCCTGTGCCGCAGAAGGACCGCCGGAGAAAGTCTTCCCGGCACGGTCGTAAAGGGATTTCAGGTTGTCAATCCCTTCGTACATCTCAGTAGAGACACGTACGCGCCACCACGGGCTGGTAAGGAGGTAAGCCTCCTTAGGTGCTCGTGCAGAGTTGTTCACACAACATGGGCACCAGTCTCCCCAAGAGAGGCAGGGTAATC